CATGACAAATTGAGCTGCTTAGCCAAAAATTATTACTTGACATGAATTCCATAATTAAAATCAAGTAATCCTTTATCACATCTTGCTGTGCAACAAAAAAAACCCATTCTCAAAGGCAGTCTTTGAAATTAAGTAAGAACATGAAAAATACAAGAYGAAGCACTAAGAAAGCAAATCTTTAAAGAGTTTCTAGCAAGAGTAAAACCACCATCCACAAGTTGTAGCACAGCAAACAACGTATTTCAAACAAAGAACAAAAAAAAAAATAGTTGCAAATGCAGATAATGCAATATTTAAGAACCAAAACTACCTGAGGAGCTACCAGAGACAACATACATATGCAACATTTCAGAAACAACTAGTTCTGCAGTGGTGTTTATGTGGTCAAAGCATTTCCTTAGTGTGTGTACGCAGGGTGTGCAGCTCTCCTCAGATGTAAGGACACCCTCCCTCGTACCCACCATGATGGCACAGCTCCAACCACAAGAATGGAGCTCGAGTGGTTGGTGAGGTCACAAAAACACTGCAGTGCATTATGAACATCTCTATTTTTCTAGAATACGGCATTTTTTTAACTTGAATTACTGCCTTGAGTTTCAGGCTAACAGACTGTGCAACCACATCCCTTAGAAACTGGATGTAACTCTCCGTTTTCTGGTTCCTAAACCCYAGTTGCTGAGACACCCCCACTACCCAAACACCGAAGGGAACTTGTGTACTCACAAATGGAAAGATTAATGCACGTGTAAAATTCTGCAGGMTCAGCACCTTGGTGTGTGGTCATAGTATTGGACTATTTATTTTAGTCAAGTTTATTGAGCACCTAGAAAAATCCCATTATAAATAAAGCAGCGTGCTCTTAGTAAAACTTGACATGCACGGTAAGTTTTGAATTTATAATGGGACTCACATACATAGCAATTTTTTATTTTAACTCTATGTTTTAGTTTGATTTCACAYATCCATATATTTACTTCCCTTGTATTTATTCTCAAACTAAAAAAGCTCCTCCATTTATTTCCTAAATGCCGAAAGAACTGCAGGTTTAAAAACTTGTTTTTATGCCTAGAAATCTCATACCGAAAGAATCCATTTACACTGAAAAACACTGACTTCAGGCATCATTAATTACGCTACTGCAAAAATTCTAAATGGTCACAGAGGCAATAAGCAAATATCCCATGAAACATTCCCAGACAAGAATCATTTTCCAATCTATTGAGCTCACAGTTCAAAAAGCTCAAGTGTTATTATCAGGCAACATTTACAGGTTTTAGTCAATAGAACTTTTGTATTTAGGAGCATTTGAAGACCTGACTCAGAGCTACTTAAAATTCAGGTTAGCAAGTTTAACTTTCAACTGTTACAGTTCCTTCTGTTCTGGAGGACAAAATAACTAACTAACTAAACAAATGCTTTATTTTAAAAACTGAGTCAATTTTGAAGACAACAAAGTTAATAATTCATCATTAACCTGATCCTGTAAACACCTGATTACACCATAAATTTGAAGAAATTACTGTCTTCAACAGGAAAAAATACTCCAGTTAATGGTTCCTGCTCTATCTTACACTTTTGCTGGTATCARTAGTTTACAAAATCTAGTGCATATTCTCCTGGTAGTTTTGAGTTCCGCTCTGTCTTATGGAAAAATACCCAGATATTTATACACAGATTTCCAGCTCCCACTAGCACAGCTTAAARAAAACCATCACAAGCTATATAAAGAGTTTCTAGCAATCCTTAATTTGATTTGAAGCACTTATTCTCGATATAAGTACTTTCATCATTTTATCTTGATTTATATTTGCAATGTCTGCTCTAGTGTGGCACTTATTAATTAAACTGATTAAGGATCTTCAGCTGTACCATAGGCCTTCTACTCTTCCACCCACTTTGCTCCTGACTGTCATTAACCTCTAGGAAACGTCCTCTTTGTTGGTTATTATTGTTTAATTATACTGTATAGTTATGTCATCACATCTGTGAAATACAACCTCCCGTAACAACACAGCTGTGGAATATGATACTCCYGCCCGGCAGTAAAATCCTGGTTACAGCAGATAATCCACACACACCATGTTGATGCAGGAAGTGATACAGAGCTTTTCAAAGGCCCTTGATTTTGAGTAGAGCTGTTGAGACAGGAGGTGCCTACAGCCTTCAAGAGAGGTCTCAAACTACTTCTCTTCCCTCCCTTCCCCACCCCTCCTGACAAGATTCTCCTCCGTACATTTCAGGAATAATTAATTCTAAACTTAGAAAACTTAGGAAAGAGAAGTTTTGTACAGAAGTAGTGAAGCGAGAAGGAACCTCAGAAACAGAATTTATGAGCTCAGAATCTATTTTTTAACAAATACTACGAATTACAACTGAAATACACTTTTTCCTGGAACCCTCTGCTTACATTCATGATCTCATGATGCACAAGCATTTCCTTTGCTTGTAATGTAACAGCAGCAGTGACTGCAGTGATAAAAAAAAATTGCACTTTTTACATTTCTGCCACCCTTTACAGGTGTGGGGTAGGAAGGGAGTACAACCATTCAAACAACTGGTTCTTAGAATATTACCAGCAAGAGGTTCCCCAAATCACAAGGAACTCCCCCTAAAATACTGAACCGAGTGACCATTAATTCCTGAAATTTAACATAAACTGCACATTCTGCTGATACACAGAGAAGATGTGGCTGTACCAAACAGGGCAGGAGCRTTACTGTAATATGCAGAAAACATCGTGGATGGCACTGTAAAGTCTGTTTACTACAACCTGTCCTCACTTTGTCCTCCTTCTGACAACATCAGCTGGCAGTGAGCACACAGGCTTCTCTACAGAAAGAAATGGCACTTTATTGGGGAGAGGAGATTTTTCTGTGTGTGTGTGTGTGGAAAGGGTGACTGGAAGGGAATTGTCTGATTTTTCACGAGTGGAGATAACGAGATAACAGCAGACAGTTTCAAGCCTCAATCAAGACTGTGYACACCAAGTTTCAACAGGATTTTCTTTTTCCTGGTCTGGGTTACAAATCCTTGACTGGCCAGTAAGGAGTTGTTTACCTGTTAGAAGCAAGGGGGCAAATTCCTTYAGATTGATGCAAAACGTTTTCCTACTCTGCAAGTCAGAAAGGGAGGAGCACTATGTTTATTTATGTAGCTCAAACAGCAGCCAAACTAAGAGGATGCCTTATTGTGYAGAGTTCAGAAGTGTACATTAAACTCCTCCCTTTAAAGCAATGCAGAAGRAAAACTGCCATTCCCACTCTGGGAGTCGGGAGCAAAGGGGAGAGAAGTAACCCACGAAGTTGCTGCCTGACATAGTTTTCTATCACAATGCTTATGATTAACCAAGTGAAGAAACAGAATGACATGGAGGAGAGAGCTTGCATAGATACCAGAGCCAGAGGGAATGACAACAGAAGTGSCCAGGGCTTCGTGTGGTCTTGTTTTACAAAGCCAGATTAATTAAACAGACACTAAAGGACATCTCTTTTAGAAAATGAAACACGTTACAAACCAAAACGCCTCAGAGAGTGAGCAGCTAGGGAGCTATAACTAAATTACTAAGTACAAAATGAAGCAGCCTGCAGAGGAAATGAGTAATTAAAAAACCCTCCCCTGAGCGACAGGCTGGCAAGAGAGGGATAACTCCAGGACCCTGGTGCTGGAGGTAAACAGTACCAAAGCCAAAACGTGACAGATGAAAACAGATGTTTTATACAAACAACAAAGCCCCAATCGCCTGCCTTTACAGCACGTTCCCACTCAGATGGCATTAGGCACAGTCTGTCTGATACAACTTGAGGAGATGCACACAGGAATTACATCACCCATCACTACCACGCTGCTGCCCTGGGGTGAAGCTCTGCAGCCGCTGGACAGTGCTCAGCAACCATAAACAATGTTTTTAGAGGAAGAAAAAGATTAACATCAACCTTGCTCTTCTTTCTCCAAGAGTTTAACAGAGCACAGACAACCACCTCCCTGCTGGCACAGMAAACCCTTCTGCACCCTGCTCCCCTTTCTCGAGAAAACAAAGGCRCCTTGGGCACCTGTTGTCCTGGTGAGCAGCATCAATCCCAGCCTGGCCTGACTCCTTTTTTCTGTTGCTCTAGAGAGACACCAGGAACAACACCTAACTTGCCAACCCTTAAGTAAGCACTCTGGCAAAGTGGTTTCCAACTTTTTCCACTAGATCTCTTCCAAGGAAGACAAGCCCTGGGTGTAGCAAGTTTTAGCCCACTGAGAGTCCTTCTYTCTTSTCTGTCTTTATGAAACCCTTAAGGRCCACCAGTTGAACATGAGTCTGGCTGGAGGCAGACATGGAGGACAATGACCATAGGGCACACTCTGTAGTGAAAGGCTCACACTTCTTCATACTTTTTCCCCAGACATGGGTCCCTCAGAGAGAGTAGCCCCAGGCCAAGCAACATCAACCCCTTTCTCAGCCACAGACAGCAGCAAGGCTGGGAAGGTGAGGACATTCCTTGTTGATGCTGAGGTCGTCACCAGGCAATGTCCTTCACTGCCGCCTTGGGCCCTCCAGGACATGAGTGTCCTTCATTCACCGTGCCCAGCTTCAAGAGAGGGGACCCTCACTGTCCCCCAGSTGCTCTGTGAGCACTCGAAGCCCTCTTACCACCTGTGACCCCTCACCACTATCTCAAGCCATCCAGCTTCTTCAGAGGCAGACCCTCACCATCCCCTCAGACCCTTGGTGGGCAGGGGGAGCATTGATCTCTGTTTCCTTCACCAGCTGTGGCCTCTCACCATCACCTCAGGCCCTTCTCCTGGCAGACCCACGTCCCCTGCACGGGACACAGGTACCGCACACTCTCCCCGGTGGGGTGAGGGAACTCTCCCCGTCCCCTCCTCGAAGGACTCCCCGCTCCGCCCAGCCCCACGTCCCCTCCCCGGGACAGAGGGTCCCTCTCCGCCCCCTGGGACCGTTCCTGCCCTGCGGAGCGGGCCCGGCCCCGCCGCCCCCGGCCCCCGGCACTCACTGCGGCGGGAGCTGCAGGGCCGGGCCGCCGCGGCGCTGGAAGGCGCCGTCCACGAAGACGCCGTTCTTGCCGAGGCAGCGCAGGTAGAAGTGCGGCTCCTGGAAGCTGAGCTGCAGGTGCCGCCGCGAGATGAAGCTGGAGTGCCCCATGTTGACGTCCACCGAGCCCTGCGAGGAGTTGCGGCCTATGGTGACGGCCGGCTGCCGCATGAGGAACTCGAACTCGCGGCCCTGCAGCCGCGCCAGCACCGGCCCGGCACAGGC